TCAGCAAGGTTTTTAGGTAACTCCATAATGGCAAGGCTTCCGGGGTGATTGAGATCCTCTCTTAGTACCCTAGGTCTCTGGATGTTGTTGAGCTGTAGTGGCTGAAACATCTTTGCATTGTATGGTGGTCATGGACAGTACCCTGGGACAAGCTGTCGGCGGTAGTGGTTCCCCTCCATAAGAAAGAGCACCAAAGGATGTGTCCCAAATGTTGAGGGATCACCTTTGGAAAGCTTAGAGGGTTCTCAAAAGCATATTTATGCGTAACAAGACATTACGCTCAAAAAAGTCAGCATTGCCTTCAAAATCTGGCAGATACACTGATTTTATAGGAGCGTATTGGCCCTATGACTAACACCTGGACTTACTCTCCAGCACATTCTAGCACAGCCATCGGTTAAGCGGAAATTTAGAATTAAAATTGAAATACACAGATTCCCTGATTTTTTTGAGTGTAACAGAGAATGAAACTGTTTTTAAACAAATTTACAACCTCGTTTACACATAAACATGACAAAAACATGTGCCATTAAGACTGTCATCAACTCACGGAGGCAGGTGAAAAAGATGCTGCCCAGACAGCAGAGAGCAAGCTTAAAAAAAAAAAAGTAAAAATAACTATAATGCGAATATTGCAATGCTCTCAATTTAAAGGTTGGTCTATGTACCTACCCTCACCTTTGGTCATGAAATCAGGATCAGAAGGACCCTGAGACATGCTGAAGAGACTATATCTCTCAGCTGACCTGGGAACGACTTGGGCTTTCATCAGCAGAGCTGGAGGAAAATTCTTGGGAAAGGGAAATCTTTGTTCTCAGTTGAGACTGCTGCCTCCTCAACCCGGGCCCGGATAACAATGAAGTTGAAGGTATGATAACTAAAAATATCTATTTTTTTTATCTGTTGACACTGTTTTACCCTGATATTAAACTGAATTTATGTTATTACTGTCTAGTAGTTCTGAACAAGGCAGTAGAGTTTTGTTTTTTGTAATCTAAAGTAGACCTATGTAGCAAATGTCCACATACAGCTTCAGCTACCAAATTGTAATCTACTGTTTTTTTTTTACAGTAAGAAACAAAAACGTGTAAGATATTGATTTAATGGTTTTAAAAATATTGGTGCATGTCTGAAACTGTATATATAGAGTTAAAGCCCAAAATTACTTAAACCCCCAGCCAGGTTAGGATTTGAATGTTTTTTATTTGACCAAAACTTTGACCAAAAGTTAAACAGATACCCATAAAAAAAAAAAAAAAACATAGCTATGTAAAGGCATATTAATTTGAAAAGAATATATATATATATTTTTTTTCTTTATTAGATTTTTAAAATTTACATGATAAAAATTACTTATGACCCTCTTAATAATTGTTAATCAAAGTTTTCTGACACTGTAGCAGTACACTTTCTATAGTTGCTCATGTCATGGTTTTGGTTTTGTTCAAGTTTTTTTTGAGTTTTCATTAGTGTTATTTTGATTCTGGTGTTCTAGGTATTTTTGATTGTATTTGAGTTCTTGGATATTTCCTGTTTGCCCTCTTGTATATGGTTCCCTTCTTGCCTCTGTTCACACCTGCTCCCAATCTGCTAATTAGCCTGGTCTTTGTTTGTCTCTCCCATTTATTCTCCTCCTGTTCACTCTTTGCTGGTTTGTCGACATTACTTTGCCCCCTTGTTTTGAGTATACCTGGCCTTCAGTATTTCTGTATTTTTGTGGATTTATGTTTTGGAATTATGCTTCTGTTGAACTTTTGGTTAATTAAACTTTAAGAAAACTCCTTTAGCTTCAGTCTGCATTTGTGTCCTGTCAATCCTCCAGCACCCTTGTGACAGCTCATAAGCTATTTTTAAGTTCCTATGTATGTGGCCCATTGAGCTGGTTGTTTGCCCCACTAATCTGCTAATATGACTAACATGTCACAGACTCTTTCTGCTGTCCTTTTTTGGGTCAACAAATGGTATTCTGTTCTTCAAGGAATTTTAGCTAGATTGTTGTTTTTTTGTAATAACTGGGTTTACGAAAACATTTAATTGCTAGCAGTAATGCAGAAAGTAAGTTTAAGTAGATCATCATTTTTCTTTTTTTTCTTTTTATTTCAGCAACTCAATTAAAAAACATGAACTTATATGTCTGATAGCTTTATTACAGGAGGTGATATATTGCAAGCAAATATTTAAATTTATTTTGATGACAATGCTTAACATCTACTTAAAACCAAAAAGTCAGTTACTCAGAAAATGGAATGTTAGATGGGATAAATAGAAATGATTACAGGATATATTATTATGTGGAAGATTGCTGACCTGACAGTTGCCAAGACAATTACAGGCCTGCACCCTGCATAGGGTGAGGCATTAAAGACTGCGAAAAAGAATTAGACTGTTTCATCCGAATATATTAATACTGTGAAATAAAGTTGAAGGAAAAAGTGCAGTAAGAATAGGACCACAAACATCAGGAAGAACCACAGCCTTGACACAGTTGTTAAAGTCTTTGGAGAGATTCATAAGGTATAAAATACAGTGGGAATGTTTTATTTAAGAGCCAATGCATTTAAATAAAAAAATATAAAAATACACTAGCAACAACTTCTGCATTTCTGGTGTTAGCCATTCCTCAACCAAAGACTTTCAGTAACAATCTAATTTGGTTAACTGTGTTATAAAACCTCCAAAGTCAGAACAATCATTTACAGAGAAGAACAGTAAGCACTTCATGCTTCCTTATTCTGACAATTTTAAAAAGTAAAGTAAAAAGTGATTGGAAGGGTGGAGATTATATCAAAGTTCAGTCTCTTAACAAGTCCCCTCTGGCAAAAAAAAAATGAGTGAAAAAATAGTATAAGTGAAAAAATAAGTATTATGTAAAATGCTCTAACACATGATCTGAAGACACTAATGTGTTTTTTTTTTATTGTCACAGAATGAAATAGTATTTTGCACTCTGTGGAATCAAGGTAAAACCTTGTTTAGTGTGAGACAACTTTTCAGTAACTTTGCCTGCAGGCTAAATTCTCTCAGAATTTGTGTGTTCACAAACATACCAGAATTCGTCTTATCCCACTAAAACAGTTCGATGATGATCCAAAATGGGTTGGCCAATCACACTGCAGTATTATGGTTTGAGACGGGACATATTGCTGTGATGAAAGCAAGAGCATCCAAGCCCACATCTGAACCAAAATAGACATGGCAGTTCATGACCACTTATGCATAGCTGTTGCTATCAAATCTCTTTTGTTAGAATCCACAATTCCACCATTGAAAGAGCAAGTGTGTAACTTGTGTTTCTCATTACCCTGCTGCTTAAGACATTTTCATTGGTTACCATGTTGACTAAAACTAACCTTGATAGGTTAGGGTTTTCCAGGTCAAGATTTCAACCCAAGCATCAAGAATGCACCTTGTGGTTAAACAATTTCAATGAAATCTCTCACAGGGCTATTTCTTATAAAGTTTCAAGTATATTTTATTAATTCACTTTTTGAAACAAATGGTATAAATTTTCATAAAATAACTACTTACAGATGAATAGCTTAGTCATTATTGGTGAGTTATATGTAATCTTTCATTGCTACAACAAGTGTACTTAGGTACTCTGTTCGTATTAATTTCTTCTTTCTTAGCTTAGCAGTAAAAGTTGTGAATTTTAACATTTAAGTACAAAAAAGAAACAGAAGTTCGAAAAAAAAAACAAAATAGAAATAAAGAAAACTGAAAGCCTCTGTGAGCAACATCATATGTTCGTTTCCTATAAAGTCTCTTAATTCCTTTAGTATTTTCCACCTCTTTCCAGTAGCTTTACTTTTTCTCCTCTTTCAAACCATTCAGAGGCCTCATGCAATCAAGAGCTCTTGATTGCACTCATGCCTCTTGATTGCACTCATGCTTCCATGTTTTACACGACTAAAACAGTAAAAAAGTCAGTGGACACATCGTCCGGTCCATCTACTTTTTCTGTTCCATTTTCAGTCTTTCAATCTGGGAGGAAAATAAAGGAACAACAGAAAATGTTTTCTAGGATTCATAATAATCTACTTTTTAGATCATTACAACATGTGACTCATCTCTTATTTCCTGCTTCAAAGTTTTCCCCAAGGTTTTTTTCTGCCATTTTGTTTACTATCACATTACACAGTACACTTATACATTACCTTTCTATCTGGTCTTTATCTTTTTTTTAACCTTCAAAAAAACCTTTGATACACCTTAAATTTCATTCAACATTTCAAAAATCATACCACCACTTTTTTTTTTTTAATCCTTTCATTTTGACATTGAGCATTCATTTTTTGATTGATAGTGCTAGATAAACCATAAGACAGAGGTCTTCAACGTTTTCCAGGCCAAGGACCCCCAAACTGATGGCAAAAAAGAGCGGGGACCTCCCAATTACATATATTGTATGAAATTGTGTTATATCAAACTGGTCCCATACTCACTCTATTACAGATGGAGTAATATAACAAAAGTAATTTCTCCCTGGGATTTGTAAAGTATTTCTGATTCTGATTCTGATTCCTCGTTGATGGGACAGGTGTTGTGAATGAAACAGTGCCCAGCTTGAAGTAGCTCCTGTGTGACGCTGAATGTGTGCATTGATGACTGAAAGGCAGCTTCTGCCTCCATTTATCTGTTTGCTACAGTGTGTTGAATTCATGGTAATGTACAGTATATTTAAAGACATTTAAATGAGTGAAAATTAGAGGGGAGAATATAAAAAAAGGTCTAAGCAACCAAAATTTTTGCGACCCCCATGCAGTACCTCCGTTGACCCCCTGTTGAAGGCCTCTGCCATAAGATATTTGAATTTTAGGTAATTTATGTTTTTTGTGGTGAAAATCAGTTGCCTTCCTCAAGATTTCAGGCTGAAGAAGCCGCAGCTAAATAAATTAGAATAAAGCCCCTAACCATATTTATCTTTGAGATGTTCCATGTTTCAGGACCATCTTTATCTCTGTTTAAACAATAGTGATATAAAAATGACTTATTTTTTAAAAATTACTTTTAACAGGATTTGATTTGTTGTAAAACAGGATAAAATACAGGTAAAATTGTAAATTAAACAAAAACAGCAAAAGGCTGTTTTACTGGAAGACGGTGTGGTAGGAAGGGCACTGGTGGGATTTCATGTACTTGATAGCAAACTTGAGCTCCTTGCTTTTCTTGTCCCACTTGTGAATGGACATAAGCAACAGCTGCTGGTCCACTTTGCGTCCCATGATTAGGAAGTTGGAGCCAAGGTTCTCAAGCTGGGAGCATGGGCAGTTTGCTCCATTCTTTATGTACAGGGTCAGCTTCTTCAGGTCCTTCTTCCTCAGTATGCCCTGCTTGAAAACTTTCTTCTTCTTCTGTGCAGCAATTAGCTTTCTATCACCTTTTTCCTTCTTGACTTCCTTGATTTTCATCTTCAGGACTAAATGAGAAGGAAAAAAACGGTATTTAATGTAAACTCATATTGGATATTGTTTATTAAAACCTACATTTGGTGTAGCAGTATTTTAAGCAATAACTGCATTTACATAAAGCACACATGTTCAATTGAATCAATAAATTTATTCAAAATAATTTATTATAATTTCATTCTTGAAGATAGAAGTCACTGTATGAAGAATCCTTGCTCATAAACCTTGGATATGAGTATACATATTGGCAGGCTCTTGTGAATCTCACTGTTATATAAAGGAATAAACACAACAAATGATATTCAAAGTAACACTGCCAAAAATGTTGTCCTAAAAAATAATAAATAAGAAAATTAGATAGTGCAAGCTGTTGCAAATTAAAATTCTGAAAATGATTTTGTGTTTGTTTGCGGATCTTTATAATAAAAACACAACTTATAACAGTTCTTTCTTCAAAAACATCGTATGGAGCAGATATATGTCTTTTGATATAAAAAAAAGCACAAAAAAACAAAAAACTTATAGCTATTGCAAAAAAGTTTATGCATGATAGATAAATGAATAGGTTTAATACATCAACATTGCTGTTGTGTGAATTAGATTTTCATTTACTATAAGCATCAGACTCGAATAGATGGCAAACTAATCACTATCAACTACATTACTTTGTTGTTTCATCCTCTATATATGGAAAAGATTATGAAAGTGTCTTCTTTTAGGCCGCCATGTATAGTATGGTAGCATATTTTGTTTTTTTTTTAGTGCATTTCCATTAATACATCTCTGTCCAACAGATTTATGAGAATTTGAGTTAATATGCCAGGTTTATATTTGATTCAAAAGGATTGGTGTGCCAAGTTACTAAATATAAGAAATGATTTGATGATCAACATAAAAGTGAAACAAATGTTGAGCATTGTTGTGAAACCAAATTGCTATCTGTCTACACTCTCGGTGACACTGTTTACATAATCCATCACTCTTCCAGAACTTCAATTAGATTTAAGGTTTGTCTCTCATTCAAGGTGTGTTGTGACTTGTGTTTTTAAGCAAATCTGCTTAAGAAAGCACATGACAAAGCCTTAATTGTCAGTGTGATGAAATACTTTTTGAAATAGTTTCAGTCTCACTGAGTGTTGTGTTTATAGGTTCATTTTTTCTCATGTAGGAGATTAAAATTTAAGTGCCAACTATTTCCAAGGAGAATTTGCAGTGTAACCCCTTTTGACAGGGGAAATTAATCATAGGTTGGGCAAAGGCACAGTGCTGGAACGAGACATCTCCATTCGTCTAAGTCTGCTGGAAGATCGCCATGTCACTTTTCATCTGCTTTTCTGTGGTTGCATAAACAATACTAATTACATTCTGTTACTGTACATGTAAAATGATAGGATGGTGCACCGAATTGCCCTTTATATTCATTGTAGCTCAAATACAGTCACATGATGCTCAGTTTATGACTCCATACCTGAACATAAGTGCCTGTTTATGAATGACTGCATTTATGTGCATGCATTTATTTAGTGAAGGTTTGAACCATTTAATTGCCCCCCTTTTTTTTCATTTCACTTTAAATGCCCACCCGTGTTCAGTCATACTTAGAACTAAGTAAGGCGATGGGCCCCACTGCACAGCCTGGCCAGCATCTTCGTGACAAGCCATACCTACTTCTTTATACAAACTTGGTCTCCTTACTATGAGTATAGAGATGTGTGCTGTCATTGTGAGGAGAAACAGATTTTCTTTAAAGCAAAAAAAAAAAAAAAACACAACCTTAGAATAGGGTAGGATGCAACCACTGGTTTTATGTAATATAAACATAGTTTAAGGATCTTAGAATGTATGAGAATCATGCATCAAAACCAAACTAAATTAAACCAATTTAGGGGTCTTTAGGCTGATCTAGTATGACCTATTTAAATAGCATTGTAGAGTAATTATTCTGTTGATCTCTAATATATATCACATTCATTATCATCCATTAGCATCTGTCATCCAATCAAATACAGTCCCAACTCAAAAAACATATGCACATGGCTGTCTATGCAAATTCATATAGAGCCACTGTTGTAATAACATGAAAGAAAATGAACTACATTCCCTAAAAATGCAAAAAAGACCAGTATATGCAATCATGCAGTTCACCATTAAAATAAGTGTATCAGGATTAAGTGAGCAGCACCTCCTCTCCTTAACTCCTCTCTCCACAGGTGGTCAGTGATTGGCAGGAGGGAAAGGAGATGGAGTTTATCCACATTGTATACTGATGATGGGAGGCGTATATAGCAGAAGGCTGGGGGCAGATCATCGCCAGAGTGTTAACCCATTGTTGTATGCCTTGATCGACCACTGTCTTACGACAACCCTTTCTTGTTCCATGTCCTAACGCTTTGTCTCCTGTGCCCCGAGGTTGCCTCAATCCGGATCCCACTCCAGTGCACCTCTCAATCACAAGCTTTTTCTCAAGCTTGTGATTGAGAGGCAAGTCTGGCAAGTCTGGATCTTCACTCCATCCCTTCCCCAGTGTTTTTCTTCCTGGCTGAGTATTTGCACCATTGCCAGCATCTAACCTTCCCCTCTCTGCCCCACGGTTACCCCCTCGTCCTCGTCTCTGCTTCCCAAACTGCTAAGAGTTCAGGTGCTCTTTTAATGAGTTCCGGTTGGAATTTAAAACATTTTCCTGAAGGGTGGATCTGGGTCAGCAGTACCGCCGTCTGTGTGTGCTCCAGCAGCTCAACCATCCTGTGGTTGACTTCACTATTCAATTCCACAAAATGGGCACCGCAACTGGCTGAGAACCCTGTGCTCTTCAGGCTGTGTTTTTTTTTTTTTTTTTTTTTCAAGCACCGGATGAACACCTTATGGACAAGTTAACCTGTCTTGAGAAACCCGGATCCCTAGATGGTTTAATCTCGCTTACGACCCGGTTGGACAACCAAATTAGAAATAGGACATGATTGTGCTCGGAATGGGTACTATCTTAGTAGATCTAAGCAAGCCTCCTTGCATAAAAGCATGTCAGATGTAATCATCCACATTGACTTTCAATGAGCGCTAAATGCCACAACCTCGTCCCACATGATTTTCTGTTGGATCGGACATAAAAAAAATCAGATTTGGTGTGTCCTGGCCTTAAACAGAATTCCCCAGGGTGGATGAGTGGAAGACAGCCTTCAAGACCCGTCTGGGGCATTTTGAGCAGCTGGTCATGCCGTTTGGTCTCTGCAATGCTCCTGTGCCGTTTGGTCTCTGCAATGCTCCCTCCGTCTTCTAAGCCCTCATTAACCATGTTGTCCTTGATTTCCTAAATCTCTTTGTCTATTTGGACAAAAGACATTTTGTCTATTGTCTATTTGACATTCTGATCTATTCAATGAACCTTTCTGAGCTTCAACAACATGTACGAGTTGTCCTTCAACATCTCATGGAGAACAGACTGTTTGTGAAGGCGGGGAAGTGCAAGTTTCAAAAAACCCTTCAGTCTCTTTCCTTGGTCTTATCCTCAAGGGTGGTAGGACTGATTATGGCCTGGAGGAGATCAAAGCAGTCCTCAAATGGCCCAAGCTGGACTCTTGAAGACAGCTCCAGTGCCTTGGCTTTGCCAATTTTAAACTACGTTCTTGAACCCAGTGACCGATGCCACTTTCCACGAGTTAAAGCAGAGATTCTCCCAGGCACTCATTTAGTTCATCCGGAAGTGAACTAAGATGGGTGCCTTCATCTAAGTTCGCAGAAACAATGATCCCTCTACATAGATGTTTCGGCCGCTGAGATTGGAGCTGTTCTCTCCCAACACTCTGCTGAAGATCACAAGCTCCACCCTTGTGGATAATTTTCCTGCCACTTATCACCAGCTGAGCGAAACTATGACATGGTGGACAGTGAACTGCTGGCCATCAAACTGGCTGTGGAGAATTGAAGCCACTGGCTGAAAGGTACAGACCAGCCAGTCTTAATCTTGACAGACCATAAGAACCTTGCCTCCTGTGCCTCCAGGTTGCCTCACTTTGGATCATATTCCGGTGTGCCTCTTGATTGCAAGCTTCCCAAGCCCTGGTGAGAACTACTCTGGTTCACCAGCCAGCAACAAGATCACTCTGCCACCCTGGCCGCTCTGATGGATTGCTCCCACCCTCCATTGGCCAGCTCTCCTGCCTCACTGCCACCCACTCCACATGGTCCACTCCAGCAACCTTGTCAGCTGCTTGCCTGGCTGGATCCTCCCACCACCGCTTCCCTGTCGGTTTTCTTCCTGAATGAGTTGCAAGCAACGCAGCACCCAGAAGTATTTGCACTATATGTGTATATATTTTATCTCTTTTTATTTTTATTTTTTATATTTATTATATTGTATAGTTGGATGTGTGTATATATCATGTAAAACTGTAACTGGAGTGTGTAACAAAAGTAATTTCCCTGTGGGATTATTAAAGTATTTCTGATTCTGATTCTTATGTTCACAAGCAATTGAATAGACAATCATATTTGACATTTTCTTGTAGTGAGCAGAAATCCTGTTTCCATTAATAACAGTAAGCCTAACGTTCTGAAGCAACCACACTATTAACAGATATAGGTGTTTTTAACACCCACCCAATTTGAAGTAACCCTCGACTAATTTGCATACCCAAATGGAAAAGCAAATAACTGAGCAACTGTAAGCCAAAATTACATGTGTGATCGATCATCTACAACACCTTCTAGTTATTGAGAATATAAAATAAATAAAATATGAAAATAGTGCAACTAAAACACAGCCTAAGCTGCATCAGTTCAAAGATGAGATTTTCTTCTTGAAAATAATAGGCCTTTTTTGTACTGCAGTAATAAAGACATGCTTGAGAATATCAATGTCTCATTGTATTACATTGGTTCTAAATCATGTCAGCCTACAAATGCAAAAAAAAAAAAGACCTGAAAAAAACAGCTGATTTTCAAGCTAAACTAACCTCCACTGACTTTTTTGAGCTGTATTTTATTTATTTTTTTGGCCTTAGGCATTGTTATAAAACAAAATGAGCATCCAAACTTCAGAAATATTGGAGCCTTGTTAGTAAACGGCTTCAAATTGTGCGCACTGATTCAATATTAGCATTGTATTTCACTCTTACCCTTGTATGGAACCTTATTTCATTGGCTACAAAGCCAAACAGGCCATGTGATCTTAACCAATAACTGCAGGACTCTATGAGGCGTAATATCGCTCTACTCGGTGTGTCATTGGCTGACAGGGAAGGAGTGCTTGTGAGACTTTATTGGCTGTCCCTGACTCAAATCAAGTCATACAAAGATGTGGAGACTTTTGTCTTGTAGGTAGGAAGATCATGTAAAAAGAAAAAAGAAAATTGCAGGCTTAGCCTTCAGGAAGTCAGCTTTATTAACAAAATGCTATCAGCTAACATTTCTGACGTCAAAAAACAGACTTTATGTTGCGATTTTCTCATCGTGGAATGTTTTTATTATGAATATGCTGGATTACTTTTATTCTTTGGACCCTGGACGAATTGAAGATTGAATTTATAAAAACGCTTCTGGATGCCTTCAAAGGTAGGTTGTCGTGGCTCCTTTGTCATATTTATAGTTTACCATGCTGCTATATCTGTGTTAATTGTGCTGTATTACTCGCTGTGTCCAAATAATAATAAAAAAAAACATGTTTGTTAAATTGTGGAGAATCTAAGCTTTCCAACAATGTCTAACATGTCTATATGGGTAAAAATTTTACCATTATCATTTTCATGCGTTCTGAGTTGTTAGATGTAAATGCTATAAAAACAGTCGCCGATGATTGTGGATTTTGAGAGGCTAAGATTTTTTAATATGTAAGCTATATGTCTGCATTTTTTTTAAACTAGATCAAGCTTCAGAAATTGTGGACATTTTCTGCATTTTTCCTTTGTTTTTTGGTCACCTGTTGTTTTCACTTTAAGAACTTTACCAAGTTTTAGATATTGTTCCGGGCTTTTGCTTTGGTCACTTCCTGGCTGAGTTGATGACTGGTTGACAGACAACTCCTCCTAAACTTTACCACCATTCCATCCTTTCCCCATTTGTGGAAAATTGCCTCTCATAGTGTTTCTATGATGTCCTATTTCCGTGTGATTTAGCAACACTTTCCAGGCTGATTATTAATAAGGTTGTAACCGATCTGGTTTGAATCTCTATAGATTTGATCATGGTGTTTTGCATGTTCAGATCTTTCAGGCTTCAAATTGTCAGGTAGGTTCTATTGGTTATAAGCTGAACTGGAAACTGTTGCAAAAAATGCGACTACAACCGATAAGTTGGGATTTTATTTTTATCACACAAGTTAGAAATGGTTTGAATAGCCTTTTGTCTTTGAATTTACAAAGATGGATGATATTAAAATACGTTTGAAGAACTAAACATTTAGTAAGGCAATGAAGAAGAAAATAACTTTTTCACAGTGCTCTATGTGTATCAATATTTTTGTCTTTTTGGAAATCTCTAACTTACCAAAATCACTCGCACAGTAATGTTCCATGATGTTGTCTGCTTTCAGCTCGTTGTCACATGGAGGGCACACCTTCGACACTAAAAAGACAACACAAAGATTCCTCATCAGTTGCAATAAATTACATTTCTTTAAATCCAAAATATCTTATTTAAAACCTCATAAATAATCAAGAGCAGTCAGAATAAACTTGGTTCAAGAAGTAAAATGGCTCAGTAATGTTCCAGAACTAAAATAATTTTTCTCAAAAATATCTTATTTTATGCTCCTTTTTGAGTTAAAAGAGCAAAAATCTTTTTTATGTTTACTTTTCTTTACATGAACCAAATGTTATTTTTTTCTAAATAATTTTTTTTTTTTTATTTGTGTAAATTTTACTCAGATAAATCTCCTTTGGATATGAAACCTTGAACAGTTTTGGCCTACATATTTGCAGCCCCCCTGGGTCCTCTTGTCAGAGGATATTAGCTACGAGGCAAATACTAAGTCCAGCAGACTGACTGATGTTTGCCCTGGAGAAAATGTTTCTATTCTGCCCACTTGTATATTTTTGTGGTTCAGGCGTGGTCTGGCTGTGCAGAAAGGTAAACGCTGTGGAAGGAGCTGCTGAACATAGTGAAAATTGATTCAGTCCACAGACACAGGCAGCACTTAAGCCACATAGCAGACACATTGTGAAACAGCAAGTAGACCAAAACCAATGATTCCTGTTCATCTGGAACTCAAAATGTATGGTCACGCACGTTGAGATTAAGAACATGTTTGGCCTTGTTTATTTTGATATGGAGTCTTGTGACTTTTTTACAATGAAGACACAACACGGAAGAAAAAAAGCAAAGAACACAACAGGATTTTTTTTGATAGTATGGTACAGCTGCTCTATTGTTTTTACGTCTAAACAGTGTCAGTTCTTGCATGATTGTTGGACCATCCTTTTGTAATACACATTATGTGAATTCAACTTAGTATATTGGATTAAGTAAATGCATTTACACAATACTGGGTTATGAAAGAGATCAAATAAATCTTAATGATTAAACTTCTCCAAAAATTTAAACTCTTCTCATATTTGTAGTTTCTTTTTTGGGTGATGGAACACACACACACACATACACACACACACACACACACACACACAGAAATATGTTCTATTACTATTGCCATCCCCTATTAGTGATAAAAACATAAACTATAGAAATATTCCTCAGTACTCGTACACTGTTTTGTACAAATTCATCTGTACAACTTTCCCACACTGATCACAACAATTCTGTGTTGATGTCGCCACTAAGAAAAGAACACCCCGTGTTTGCAGTTTTTAGTCGAGGTGAGGATTAAAAAACGGAGTTTGTAACAATATATAAGATCAGTTGGAACATGTTAATTGCTTATTATTATTATTATTTTTTTTTTTATGTACTGCATCCCACAAGGCAATCCAAATATGCCAACGGCAAGGCATTTGGTTCAGGCTTTAAGCGTACTCTTGGTAGCTGTGTTGGACAACAGTTGGACCATATTCTCTCAATAGATGAACTGCTGTAGAGTTTGTTTGCAACTCTACAAATCCAACTTTCTTCAGTGGGCTTGGCACCATAGTTTTGATCTGCACTAATGTAATTTACATTGTTCAGGTGGAGTTTGACAGAAACTAAAATACCTCAGCTTAGAAGACACTGTTTAACACAAAGAGAGAGAGAGAAAGAGACAGAGAGAGATATAACAAACAAAGGGGAGAATTACACTGTGTAAACAAAGGTTATTATTGTAAGCTGTTGAGTCTAAAACCCCAGTTTTCCAAAAATTACCTCATATGCTGCGTATTACTAAAATAAATGATGAACATATCGAAATTTTAAACGTCTAATAATGTTATTTTACAGTGTCTGCTCTCTGATGCAACACATAGACCCAAACCTTAATACAAAAGACCGATGACTTAGAAAAACATCTTAAAAAAACAAAAGAAACTCAGGAATCAGGGGAATGTTGAAGTATAAACTAGCAAAAGCGAACAAGGAAACAACAACTTAAATACCATAGGGAAGGGAAAGACTACACGGAAAACAGGCACATATTTTGACTATAACAGCTGACATCCTGTCTGCAACAAAAGTAAATAACCAATGCTGCCATCAGGAACATATGAAAAACTGAATATAAATCAAAATTAAATCTTTTGACTTACTAGTAGTTACTGAGCAGTCAGAATCAGTTAGAATTTGCATTTGCAGGAAAACACTTAATGGTTGTAAAATTGGACATAAGATTCTTATTGATGAATCTTTATCTGTCCTTTTCTGCCTACACATCCCTAAAGAGAACCCCCTATTTTTTTCCTTCAATGAATATATTCACATAATCCTAAAACAGTTGGTAATAATTTACATCAACCACTAAACCAAAAGGAAAAGAACGTAGGTCAAGCTGTAATTTTAGAATGGGAGTGAAAACTGTATCACACGATTCTTCTCCTCACCATATTTACAGTACGCATTAAGAGGCCAGTCAGATCTGATCTGAGTCAGCTTGTATGAAGGGAAAACAGGACTTTTCTTTTTTAAAGTGCACTGCTTAAACAAGAGCAACATTTTTCTGTGGCTAACTCGCTGCGATATCTAAAATATGCCTTCCTTCAAGAGCTTACTGTTCTCTCTTTGTTCAATCATGTCTGTTACTCACAAACACATCCATTCAAATGCACATGGGAGAGTTGCTGTGCAATTCAGGCTCTGGGTTAAAAGTCAGGGTTCAGAGGTTATCACCTTGGTCCAGACCCCAGTGTCTGGACAGATAATGAGGGGGTCAAAGTTCTGCATGCTATGCTGCTTGGGTCATGGGGAGGTGAACCTCCCAACCATCACTGAGTGTAAGTCTGTGTGAATCTCCAGGGTAGCTGATAGTGCTGTTGTAGAGTAATTGACAGCTTTTCCTTCAGGGAGTTCCTATGCTTTCTTAGACAGACGACCTGTGGGTCCCTTTAGTTTCAGATCCTAATTTGCTACTGCTTACTCTGGGAAAGTTGCATAGAAACACCTAACACACCAACACACAGAAAAGACAAAACCAGTCTTTACTCTATCTTTACATTTTTTGGTAAACAATTGTAAAGTAAGGAT